TGAGGGGCTTAAATCTTCTACCATTTCATTCAAAGTTGTTGCTTAAGGTGAATCCCTGCCCATTTCGTATGATGGTAGATCTCATGAATCTAGGGTTCTTTTTCCCCTTTTTAGTTGAGTTATGGAGTATGTGAAGGCCCTTTGAGGCATATGCATCAGATCTGGGCCTTGAGAGGTCCAGAGAGTCCCAATCATCCAGCTTTATGTCGTCCCATAAGAGTTTTGAGCCTAAGTTATCATTATAAGGGTATTTTGTTAAATAGAGCTTGATGTGTGGTGCATGGACATAAAGGTTGAACCTTTACGTGACTTTTGGGTGGTAGAAGGCCAGATCTATAAGTTAGAGAAACAGATCTGACATCAGAAGGTCAAATGAGTATTGCCATGAAGGAAGCTCACCGAGTCCATGAGAGGACTCGACGAGTCGGATCGGGTTGCCCCGCGATTCGTGACCAGTGGTAACCCGTCGAGTTGGGAGGTTAACTCGACGAGCCGAGTGAGGCCTCAGAAGGATTCAGAGGATACGCATGAACTCGCCGAGTCACACGAGTGCACTCGGCGAGTCTGGTCAATTGGACCATTGACTGGAGTTGACTTCAGTTGACTTTAGGGTTTGGTCAAACTGATTAAGAGGGGTCAGGGAGGGGTAGAATGGTCTTCTACCCATTCTCTAGATATGAGAATGTAAAGAAAGTATTGATTAGAATTATTATCATTGTGCTAGGCGGAGGCTAGATCGAGGATATCGAGCACGAGAGTTTACTAGACTTCTTACGAGGTGAGTCTTCTCACTATACATTACCTAGAGTGGTATCTATGTGCAGACCGGAGGGTCTTATGTGTTATGTGTTTACTTGAGATTATGTTCATTGTGGTTTATGTATGCTATGTGCTAACCAGACCGGACCGGAGGGTCCAACGATTTAGACCGGACCAGAGGGTCCAACGAGCTAGACCGGACCGGAGGGTCCAAAGAGTTATGGGACTGGAGGGTCCCACTGAGACACATTGACCAGAGGGTCTTACCGAGTTATAGCCTCGAGTGGATTATGTGTTGAATTTGGTATTTTGGGGAACTCACTAAGCATTTATGCTTACCGTGTTATGTGATATGTGTTTGAGGTACTACCGATGATCGTGGGAAGGCGCCGACATGATTTGTGCACACTGGCAGAGGATTATGCTTTTGAGATTCTGGGATATGTTTTATTGTGATGACATTTGATACATATGAGATTTTGAGAATATTATATGAGTTTTATTGTGTTCGAAAAATGAAAAATTGTTTTAAAATTTACGTCGTTACATACAAATTTTTATTCTTGATAATATATATATATATATATATATATATATATATATATATATATATATATAGTGACATTCTTTAGGAATTTACATGATTTTTAGAAGAATGTGTCAACATTGCAATAAGAATTATTAGTATTTTTATGTAATTGTTATTCTTGGTAATACTTACATGTGTATTCTTTAAGATTATTAATTCTTAAAAAACCACTTGAATAAAGTAATATTCTATAAGAATGAAAAGAGAATATGTTTCAATATTAATGTGATATAAACTTGTTGTTTTCAAAAAAAAATTGATATAATTATCCATTATTAATTTTTAAAAAATAAGATAAATAATATTTAATAAAAAATCTCATCAAAGTAGGAGACAAATAAGGAATCTTCCATTTTTAAATATAAGTTAATAGCCTAAAATACCCTTGCAATTAATTTAGTGTAATTATAGAGTAAATTTTATTTCATGTTAATATCATGCACCCTCATATCACAACCATTCATTCTTTTAATCCAATAGACAATAAATGGTTATACGTTCACACAATATTTGTAGTTCGTATTTAATCCTAACCATATATATATATATATATATATATATATATATATATATATATATATATGGGACGGTTCACTTGAGATTAAAAAAAATAGAGATCTTGATATTCAACCTCAGCCACATATTTCTCATTTGCCGCTTTAACGCTCCAGCGTATCGACAACAACAGAGTATGCATAATCACAAATAATTATATGTCAGAGAGGTATAATCATATATGATTATGCATGTTTATACGTATATGCCTAATCATAAATGATTATACATATATGTCTGTTCACAGATTGAGTAATCATAAATGATTATGACAGTTGGTGGCAGAAGAGGTGGTTGTCACAGAGGTGGCGGTGATATAAATGACGGAGGTGACAGTGGTGGGGTCAGCTGGTGTCAAAGGTGGTGGTAGTGGTGGTGGTGGTGGCAGTTGTGGTGGTGGAGGTGGTGGCGGAGGAGAAAAGAACGGGCGGCGCTATATAATCATTTATGATTATAACAAGCCTATCGCGTCGGTACGTCGGAAGGTTATAGCAACAGATGTAAAATATATGGTTGATGTTGAATATCAAGATCTCTATTTTATTTTTAATCTCAATGGAGCCTATATATATATATATATATATATATATATATATATATATAAATGATTATACATATATGTCTGTTCACAAACTGAGTAATCATAAATGATTATGACAGTTGGTGGCAGAAGAGGTGGTGGTCACAGAGGTGGCGGTGGTATAAGTGACGGAGGTGACAGTGGTGGGGTCAGCTGGTGTCAAAGGTGGTGGTAGTGGTGGTGCTGGTGGCAGTTGTGGTGGTGGAGATGGTGGCGGAGGAGAAAAGAACGGGCGGCGCAATATAATCATTTATAATTATAACAAGCCTATCGCGTCGGTACGCCGGAGGGTTATAGCAGCAGATGTGAAATATATGGTTGAGGTTGAATCTCAAGATCTCTATTTTATATTTAATCTCAATGGAGCCTATATATATATATATATATATATATATATATATATATATATATATATATATATATATAAGACGGTTCACTTGAGATTAAGAAAAAGTAGAGATCTTGAGATTCAACCTCAGCTATATATTTCTCATTTGCCGCTCTAACGCTCCAGCGTACCGACAACAACAGGGTATGCCTAATAATAAATGATTATATGGCAAAGAGGTATAATCATATATGATTATGCATGTTTATACGTATATGTCTAATCATAAATGATTATAGATATACGTCTGTTCACAGACTGAGTAATCATAAATGATTATGACAGTTGATGGCAGAAGAGATGGTGGTGACAGAGGTGGCGGTGGTATAAGTGACGGAGGTGAAAGTGGTGGGGTCAGCTGGTGTCAAAGGTGGTGGCGGTTGTGGTGGTGGGGGCTGGTGGCAGAGGAGAAATGAACGGACGACACTATATAATCATTTATGATTATAAAAGACCTGTTGTGCCGATACGCCGGAGGGTTAGAGCGGCAGATGTGAAATATATGGCTGAGATTGAATCTCAATATCTCTATTTTATTTTTAATCTGAATGGCAAATGTAAAATATAATTTTCATTCATTGTATCTGTCACGACCTTATATTTTGTTAGACTATTTTTTTTAATAAAATTTCGCTTCTATTTATAATTTTGATTACTAGGAAATAGGAATGTCCCTATCCATCCCACCTTTGGGGTGGAGGGTTTATTAATTTATGACTTTCATGTTCATAACCAACTTGGACCATCAAATAGAAAGTACCCGCAACACGCAAAAATCAAAGGATCTGATACACCTCTCAAAATGAGGAAATCAGAAATATTACTTTCCATCTTTTTATGTTTCTTTTATAGAAAATTGTATTGTGTTTACATCAATAGGTTTCGTAGGAAGATAACTTTTTTGTACTTCTTCATATCGAGTTTGAAACCAAGGTTAATAATTGAATGAGCTGTATGTAAATGTACAACAAAAGTCGTTATCATCACTTCATATCACAATAAATTTTAATGTAGTATACTCGTATTACATATATGATTATTTTTATGATATTAGGGTGAAAAAATGAAGAAAAAAAAGAAGAGATTTAAAGTAGTATGTAAAGAGTGAAAAGTCAGTACAAAAAATGATCTTAGACGTAAATGCAAGATAGCTAAGTATCCATAACTAGCAAGCCAAGTCCTAGATTTAACTCGGTTAAGGTCAAGACAAATAATCATTAGTTCGGGTCAAAGTAAGTCTAGTCGGGTTGGTTTATCCACAACCATTAGTGTATCAAATATAAGTTATTAAAACTATAATTTTGAAATAATTACATCTTTACTATATTATTAAACATATTGCCTCTTTCTTGAAAATTAAGAGGTACAACATGTATTACCTCATGTACAATAATATTAAGCATATAACCAATCATATACGTATTACACTACACGGATCATATACGTATTACACTACACGGACCTTACCCTAATCTCCTAAACACACAACAGCCGCCATCAAACCAATTCTCATCCGTCTCCACCAAAGATGCAGTCCACCTTTTCCGTCACACACAAGTAGCCCTAACCCTAGAAAACTTAGATCAACCACGATCAACCAAGATTCTCGGGGAAGTTAAGGAAGATCATCAAGAAAGAAAAGAGAAAATCCCAGATCAAAAAAACTGGAATCGAGATCAATGATTTCCCTGGTGGGTCAGATGGGTTTGAAACCAATGTCCTTACTTCTTCATCCGTCTCCACCAACATCTCCCACCGAAGGTCCACGGCTGCCGACCTCCCCCATCGAAGACGTCCCATCATCAAACCAAAGAAGATCAAAAAATTCTTAAGAGCTCAGGGCCTGAAAGGAAACTCCTACAGATTCCTCTTCGGAGACCTGAAAGACATGACACAGATGTCTCAGCGCCTATGGGTTTACTTATCCCTCTCTCTCTCTCTCGCCTCTCTCTCTCTCTCTCTCTCTCTCTCTCGATCGCCATCAGAAGGAAATGGAAACCCTCTTCTTTCTGTCTCCTTCCTAATCAACTTGACATACATTTCTACTCATGCCTTTCTGTTGATCCCATCCATTTCGGAGAGCCGGATTGAGAGGGCTCTGCCGAAACCCTAATTTCAAATTATCAGCGATGGCTAAGCGCGAATTGTCAAGCACATTGAAGAACTTGAAGGTAATTATAAGCCGATTCTTGATTTTTTCAGATAATTTTCAGTCTTTACTATGCATAACTTTTTTCTCAATCCCCGAATTTTGACTTAGGGCTCAATTACATTGTTCGTTTTTCAAAATTTTAAAAATACTTTCCTTTTTTGATTTTCACTGTGAAATTTGAGGTGTTGTTCTTATTGAAACTTTGTGTATGTGTATCTGCAGCATCTGAAGCTGTTGGACAGCTTTTTGGTCAACTCGATAAGTTACATGGATGCTATGTGGTTGGAAGCACTGGAAAATGCCTTCGGTTACAATCCTGGCATCAAATGCGACTGTAATTTCCCCAATTCTCACCCTTCAAATCATCAGAAAGGTTATTGGAATGGATGTTGTGGGTCCAATCCCAGAAGGACTCTGGACTTTGACTTACCTTACAAATCTGTATGTATGCGGCTGTTTCTTCACTATACTATTAACTACTATTGAAAGTTAAAACATAAATATATATATTCGTTTTATGAATATTTATGCGTGTATTATGTTAAATTATCAAGTGTTTGCTACAGTCAGTTGGCCCAAAATTATTTGACAGGTCCCTTGTGACCTTCCATTGGCAATTTAACTCGGATGCAGATCATGTAAGCCATCCCTTTTTGATACTTTAAACTCAATTAATAATTTTAACCTCTATATATTTAAGAATACATCTGAGATTTCAGATATATGATGATAATCTCAACTTTTTTATAGGAGTTTTGGTATCAATGCGTTATCAGGGCAGGTTCCACGAGAGCTAGGACAACTTACTGATCTTATATCACTGTATGTCTCTTCCTATTTTGTTTGTGTTTCTGCCATCAAGCAATAACTTTTTCTATTTAATTCTTTGTTGTTTATAATTTTACAATCTATATATATTTTCTATGTTGCAGGAGTTTGAGCACAAACAGTTTCACTGGTTCCCTGCCATATGAAGTTGGAAATTTGAGAAGATTACAAGAGCTGTAAGAACACTCATCTTGAATCCTTATTCATTACTATAGTACCCACTATCACCTTTTGTCTTTTTGTAGGCATTAAATATGGTAAAATTATTTGGCAGTAACAGTGATCCTCACATATAAAGATGCATAGTCAGTTTTACTAAAAGTGAAGTTATTCATGCAGGTTCATTTGGTGAAGCTATTCATCTAATGCACAACAGATTTTAATCTTCATGAAAAAGGAAACTGATGTGAACAAGGTATGGGATGCTCTTAGTAGTCTTCCTCCCACTCACACTATATGGTATGATATCATCAGTGTTGCTCTTCAATTTCATCTCAATAAAAGATGGGATCCAATCATATTAGTAAGAACCATTTTGTTGTCTTTGTATTACATTTATGACATATTGGTTTGATCATTTGTCAACATCTACTCTCATTATAGATGTGTGAATGGATTAGTAAGAGCCTATTGTACATCTGGATTACTAGACAAAGCTGAAGCTGCCTTTATGGAAATGCTGATGTTTATGCTTATAATCCTTCTGTTGGATCATTTACAGGTAGCTACTTCCATAATTCATACACCAAAATATCTATCTCATATTAATGATTAATTTTTCCCACATTAATGATTGTTAGCATTCTTGGTGTTATATATTTATCCCACATTAATGATTAATGTCATCTGCAGATGATTATGTTTTCTTGGAGAAATTTTGCCTTGACAAATACAAGTTCGCACATGGTGATGTATTAATTTTCAGGTATGTTGTAATTTTCATGTATTAGGAGGGCATTCATGTCTTTTCCACATCCATTGACATCGGTCACATTCATAGTTTTTCTTTTCAGATTTGAAAATACCAATATATGAATATGATAGATGATAATTGTGATATAGTTTTGGATTATTTTGTAGTGATCCAACTAATTACAAGGAGAGATGTGTGAAAAGAATAGTAGCAATGGAAGGTGATTATATCAGCAATGTTGGTGGTGTTGTGAAGGTTCCGAAAGGACATTGTTGGGTAGAAGGTGACAACTCAGCTTCTAGCTTTGATTCAAGATCATCTGGCCCCTTATGTTACCTTTATATTTGATTAATTATGATACCATTTTGAAATTTAACATTTGTGGTTATATATAACAAAATGAGTATAGAGGATTATAGAGATGAATTTGTTAATACCAACCATATGAACATAATATGGTTTATTTTTTTTTCTTCAGATTCCATTGGGTTTGATTCATGGAAGGGTTACTCACATTGTTTGACATTTTTAATGCACAGGGAAGTGATGCAGGAATATGTTGGTGCAATGCAAGATGAACATGTTAGTGGGCTTCAACTAAAGGGTAACAAAGTTTTAACTAATTAGTTACAGAGACTATACCGTAAAAATGACTATTTTAACTAGATCATATTTTTAATAGCAAGAAGTGACCATTTTCATCGGAAAAAGACTTTTTGACAACAAATGTGACCATTTTGACAACTAAAATGACCTTTTGTATGTTATTGGTATATGTTACTTATTTTTATAAAATGATTAATCGGAGCGATAGAAAAAAATATCCTAATTCATATATATCTGCAACCGAAATTTTGGATATCCAAAAATTCGGATACAAATTCGGATATCAATGTCCATTATCATAATTTTTTAAATATCCAAAATTTCGAAAGTATGGTTTTGAACACCCTTATCTGAAAATGAGCGATAAGAGAACCTTTCATAGTATAACGCTTTTAATAAGAAAAAAATTTAAGCTACAATACCGTAGAGAAAAAAAAATGATTTTGTAGTAAATAAATAAATAAATTATATTGCTATTTTTTGCATCTAGAAAAAAATGACGTTTATATAAAATCGATCTGTTGCATGTTCTTTAGAATACAATATATTTCCAAAAATAAAATCGACAATTATTATATTCATTTTTAAATTTGAGTATATTTGTTAAGTTTTGTATGATTTTAAATATTTTTGGTGGGGATTTCGACAATTATTATATTCATTTTTTAATTTTTGAGTATATTTGTTAAGTTTTGTATGATTTTAAATATTTTTGGTATGGATTTTGACAGTTATTACATTCATTTTTAATTTTTCAAGTATATTTGTCAATGTTAGTATTCATGGTAAGATTTTAATTTGATTAATTTTGGAATGATTATAAATATCCAAAAACACATCATTTTCAATTCTATAATAGTTTATTCCACTTATAAATTCAATATATGTTCTTCATTTCTAACTCTCACAACACAATTCAACTGTTAGGGTTTTGGGACGATTGGATTATTCATTTGGAATCGACAAGACTGCTTCATTACAACATCTTGTGACACGAATTCAGGTTCTCTTTACTTCTTCTATCTTTTGTAACTTCAAGTGTGTCTATAATAGTTTATTCCACTTATTTTATTTCTTACTTCTTCTTTTGTTTCAAATGATAATCTTATTCTGTCTAAAGTGATAATCTTCTTCTTCTTCTGTCTCAAATAATACATGTATATAATATGTATATATATGTGTATGTATTTGTTTGTGATATTGTATATATGTGTGGTTTGTATATGTATATGTATAAGTTGGGACTTCTTTGATTATAACCTTAGATTTCATATTGCTAGGTTTACCATTGTTGCCCGGATCTAATATTTTTAATCCATCTTTGCATGTTAAATGCGTTTTTTTATCACAAATAGCATCAAACTTTTCTTTCTATCCCATAATATAATCATAATTGCGTTTTTATGACATATAACATCATATTTTCCTTTTAATACCATAATAGCAACATACAATTCATTTATAATAAACTGTATTTTGTGATGTGTTATTGATATGGGAAGTTATTTTTTGAAGAAGGGAATTTTGAGTTTATAATAAGATATATAAACCTTAATGAAAATATTATAATGTTTCAACTCAACCCATATGTTAAAATATTATAATTTTGAGTTTTAGATGACTTTGGAAATATTTAATTATAAATAGGGGGAGTATAATAAAGATGAAACTATATACAACCGACCGAACATGCCATCAGATTGTGAAGACTGTCTATGCGATAAAGAGAAAGTATATAATATTTGTTTCTCGGGTGAAATTGGTTCATTTGGATTCAAGTAAGTTTTTTCTAGAAAATTATAATACTTGTAGTGATATTAAAATAACTAAATCAATACGTTTTAATAGTTTTTATCTTATTTTCAGTGAACATTTTAATATCAACCAAATTAAGCAATGTAGAGTTCCAACCGAGGATGCCAGAAGCATTTAACATCATAAATATGCCTAGAAGAATTTTTAATTCTGTGTGAGACATTTGGTGGTGTTTTTTTTTTGAAGTTTTGACAACTTTACCGAGTGCGTTGCTTTTATAGTTGATATACATTAATGTTAGACATATTGTGGTGAATTTTTTCATGTGTGGTTTATTTTTCTTGTGTTGGTATGAATTGATATATAATAATTTTTGGATATCTATGGAAATTTTCTTTTAACTATGTATTAGTTTCTTCTATTGTGTTTTAGCTTTTCTCTTTCAAAAATCCACCCTTGTGTGATGGCCTTGCAAATACATCTCCCGAATCAACAGTTGGTTAGGTTCAAAGACGCTGACAGAATGGGAGACATTGTTGATAGGGAGAAAGGAAAAAATTCAATGTTGACGGCATTTTTCAAGAAGAATAAAGAAGATTCCAATGTGAGAAAATATTTGTGTAAGGATTTTCCCAAACATTTTACATGGAATCGGAGCAACCATTGTTGGAGGACCAGGGAACATAAATCAATGATTGGTCGACTTGTTTATGCTAATCCAGCTGAAGGAGAGAGATACTACCTATGCCTGCTTTTATGTCATATTACTGGGCCTACCTACTTTGAAGATTTATACACAGCCAATGGTGTATTACACCCTACATTTCAAAAAGCAGCTCTTGAAAGAGGTTTAATAGAGACCGATGATAATTTATCACAATGTCTTGTAGAGGCTTCCTTATTTCAATTTCCCAGTGCACTTAGAAGGTTATTTGCGATGATGCTGATTTTTTGTGAACCAGGAAATGTTCGCAAGTTATGGGACGACCATTATGATTCTCTTTCTGAAGATTATAGGAAACAATATGGATGTGTCGAACGAGTGCAAAATATGGTCCTCATCGACATTAGAGTCTTCCTAGAATCTATGAGTAAAAAGCTTAGTGATTACGACCTTCCAAATGTCAGTGCACACATCGATTTACAATCAATAGGCTATCGTGAGGTGCAAGAAGAATACTCTATAAATGTGGAAAATGAAGACTTACTTGCGCGGGACTCTCTCAATCCAGACCAGAAGTTTGTATATGATGAGATAATGAGGCATGTGGATGAAAATATTTCGGGTGTGTTCTTCATAGATGGTCCCGGTGGAACTGGAAAGACATTTTTGTACAAAGCTTTGTTGGCCATTATTCGTGCCCGTGGACTTATTGCACTTGCAACTGCCACGTCAGATGTTGCGGCTAACAACATGCCAGGAGGGAGAACAGCTCATTCACGATTTAGAATTCCCCTCAATCTTGATAATAACTCGATGTGCAAGATCACTAAATAAAGCGGGAAGGCTCAGCTACTTCACGAGGCAAAGGTAATCATATGGGATGAAGCAGCAATGGCTAAGAGGCAGGTGGTAGAAGCAGTTGATCGGACAATGCAAGACATCACAGATGAGAAGCTCCCTTTCGGTGGAAAGATAATGGTTATGGGAGGTGACTTTAGACAAGTATTGCGGGTCGTGAGACGTGGCACTCGAGCACAAATTGTGGACTCTAGCTTACGAATGTCACCTCTATGGGCTTCAGTTAAAAGGCTTCGATTAAATATCAACATGAGAGCGGTAAATGACCCATGGTTTTCTGATTTTTTATTACGAGTCGGTGATGAAAAGAAGGAAGTATTGGACGAGTCCTTTATTCGTATACCTGATAACATGTCCATTCCATACACTGATAAACCTAATTCAGTGGACGCTCTGATTAATGTAATATTTCCTTCTTTGCAATCCAACGGCGTCGATTCAAAATTTATCATTTTGAGGGCGATATTGTCAACTAAAAATGAATGTGATGATGAGATTAATAATAAGTTGATCGAACGATTTTCTGGCGAGCAAAAAGTTTACTACAATTTTGACGAAGCGGAAGATGACAAAAATAACTTATATCCAATGGAATATTTAAACTCGCTAAATGTTAGTGGTGTACCCCCTCATTATATTCGGTTAAAAACTGGGTGCCCAGTAATACTTTTGCGAAATATCGATCCTTCAAATGGGTTATGTAATGGCACCAGATTGATATGTCGAGCTTTCCAACAAAATGTCATTGATGCAGAGATAGCTGTTGGCCAACATGCTGGAAAAAGAGTGTTTTTACCAAGAATTCCTCTATGTCCGTCTGACGATGAGATGTTCCCATTCAAACTAAAGAGAAAGCAGTTTTCAATTCAGCTTAGTTTCTCTATGACAATCGATAAAGCTCAAGGACAAACAATTCCAAATGTAGGTGTTTATCTGCCAGAATCGGTATTCTCACATGGCCAACTTTATGTGGCGTTGTCCAGAGGAATATCACGTGTCAATACAAAAGTATTAGTAAAGCCGGAAAAAACGTTTGATAATGATGGAATCTACACATCAAACGTTATGTACAAAGAAGTTTTATGTGATTAACAAGGTACAATCAACAACTTATTATTTTACAATTTCTTCAAATATGTATCTTAGATGCTCATTTGATGTTTAATGCAGGGCTAGCAGATGAAGCAACATGATTGCAGATTGGTGTAGTTTATATATTGGACAGGTTATAAATGTAAAAAACTACATGGTTGCAGATTGTTGTTATTTATATATTGTAAAATCAAGTATGAACTATTAGATGAAATTCCAAATGTAGACTCAACTTCTGTCGTATTCTATGACTATGCACCTAGCAAGAAACTATCTGTTGAAATGAACTATTCGACAAAAAAATAGTCTACCAAATGACCGCAATGAATAGCTCACGTCTAAAGGAAACTAATCATCACATTAAAACTATCTTCCGAAAGCAACTATTTGTCGTCCGACGCTTAGCGCGGGTAAACGGCTAGTAATTTATTTAAGTAAAATGATTTAGAATCTTACAAGAATTTACATACATTTGGGCAACTTTTGATCAATTTCACATGTTCAATTTATTATCTTTTATTTGTTTAACTATTTATTAATAAAATACAGTTCGATTTTGTATGAATTGTTTAAAATCACCACCTCAAATAATTTTAACCTTATTTAAACCAGTATAATCACTTTAAAAATACCCATCCACACTTGTCCCAATACATTGCTTTCTGAACCCGGTCCTCTAGCTGAACAGCCCAACCCCGAATTGCTATAAACAGAGTTATCAGCAACCAAATTTAACGACAGATTTAGCGACACTTTATTTGTCATATCCATTGATGATTCCTTGCAAAGCTCCGATTCCACATTTTGTTTTTTCATTGCAAATCCATTACAACTCTAATCCAAATGTTCACCTCACAATGGAAGGCTGGAAGCCTAGCAGTTGAGCTGCAGAATTCACAAATGATGTTGAAAGTTCAAACTTTACACGTCCAAAATATCTACTCAACCGTTTACCATACTTGATGGGTCATGGGACATGTTCGGTATAGGCCGTCTAAATAGTGCATTTTACTAGTTTTTTAATCCAAACGTTCCCTTAAGCTGCACATTTATTAGTAAGAAGAGATTAATGTTCAAAAACCATTTATCGGATTAGTTTTTTTTGCCTCAGGCAACTCGGCCAAATCCTAAAAAAATAATATGGCTTAAAAAATTAATACTATTGATTGACATAAAGGATTCTTGTTTATAGAAACCCATTTGTACACCAAAAGAATGTTGAAATTGCTGATAGTTATTTGAAAATTTGACCCAAAAGAAAAATAACTGTTAATCCCATCAGTGCTTATGTTCTGAGTACACTTATTTTTTATGCCTTCAGTGTTTTCCACCAGCAGCAGTGAGCAGACACCAAGTGGAATCTCTCTGACACACATTAAAACACACACATTGTGTTTGTGGGTGTCAAATGTCAATTCTTTCTATAAATCGTGTGTTATCGCACCACTTTACCTATTAATTCCATCTTTCTATAACCGTCTGTTAAGTCACAACAAAACCAATAAATTCTATAATATTTTAGTGTATAGTTATATATAGAAAATAAATTCCAAAAATTAGGCAAACTATAAAACTGTTTCCAGGTAACCAACTATTTAGATTTTTGCAAGGTTCTATGATACGAATCCATCGTTATATATAGAGAAAAAGAAATATACATATAGACATATTTGTTATATATAGTTTTTAAAAAAATTAGCCAAAATTTTAGAAGTTTCCTCCAATAATCACCTCTTTTGATTTTCAAAGGACGCTGTCCAAATGGGTTTTGGTACTGAGAAATGGACGCTCTGCATATAAGACATTTTTTTCCATTATTTTTACAGTTTTTTTTTTTTTTTTTAAATCTCAGAATAATTTAAGAGGATGTTTTAATAATACAAAGCTATTTTTTTATGTGAAAATTCTATTTGAATATTCCTACCATAAAAAAACATCAAAAAAAAATCTTTCTTTACACAAAAACATTAATTTCAGTATTCAGCGGACTAGAGTTAAGAGATTAATCGGCTAATCGAGAATTAAGCGGGGACCTTAAATTGTTAATTCGTTGAATTTTTAAAATTAAATATGGCTAATATCGTATCAAAGTTCGTAAATATTACTAATATCATTACAAAATAAGTTAATATGATTAATACAATAATAATTACTTCTCAAGTAGTTTCTATTACGATAGAACTTCTTTAAAGTGTTAAAATTTCATTGTTTACTACTAATTCACTCATTTTGTAGGCAGTAATTAATCGCTAGGCATCTTATAGTCGGTCGGATAGCACGTAGGGACTAATCGGAGATTAATCAGGATTTTTTACAACACTGATATATATATATATATATATATATATATATAATATATATATATATATATATAATATATAGAGAGAGAGAGAGAGAGAAAGAAAGAGAGAGAGAGAGAGAGAGAGAACAATGACCATTTGAGAACTCATAGTTTCATGATAGCCCGAGAACCAAATGAGGGTCGTTAGATCAAAATATTGGATGGTTAAGATGTTTTGTGGCATTTTTGTAAATAGTTAGGAAAAATAAGACATGGGGTATATATATATATATATATATATATATATATATATCTATATATATATCTCTATATATATATATATATATATATATATAGAGAGAGAGAGAGAGCAATGACCATTTGAGAACTCATAGTTTCATGATAGCCCGAGAACCAAATGAGGGTCGTTAGATCAAAATATTGGATGGTTAAGATGTTTTGTGGCGTTTTTGTAAATAGTTAGGAAAAATAAGACATGGGGGTAAAGAAATTGAAATAAATCAGGGGCATTTTAGGAATTATTTTTATTCTCCTGATTAAACCTCTCATTTACGTCTCTCTCTCTCTCTCTCTCTCTCTCTCTCTCACGTTGTCTTCTACACTGTATCTCTTCCATCTTCGTCCCTTTTCCCTTGATCGACCACCTCTCCCTCTACAGACTACTACCAATCCACCGTCATTAATCTCTAAATCATCGATGAATAATCTACGGTCCAAGAGATCGATATCGGTCGTGTTTATCTTTGATTGCAGATTCATAACACCTTCCACGTTTCTCAGATTCGAAAGTGGGTGGCTGACGATTCAGCGGTGGTTCCTTTGGATGATATTCATGTGGATGACCGCCTGAATTACGTTGAGAGGCCAGTGGCGATTTTGGATAAGAAGACGAAGGCCTTGCGCAACAAGGTGGTTCCATTGGTCAAAGTTCAGTGACAGCATCAGAAGGGTTCTAAATAGACTAGAGAACCTGAGGCGGAGATGAGAGAGCCCTACCATGAGTTATTCGCAGCAGCGGACTTCGAGGACGATTAGCCACTCTCGAGAGAGTGAGTATAGGATGTATGTGTATCCTAGTTGTGGGTTTGTTTTCGGTTATTTTGTGATGATCCATTGAGACAAATATGGGTAAGTGTGGAAGGTAGTATGAGCCCGTACTACTGAAAGAATAGGACATGTACGTGTAGCAAGGAAGTCACAAACCCTGAGGGTTTAGCCTCTCTGTGATGATTGTAATAGTATGAACTGTGACATTTTCTGATATATATATATATATATATATATATATATATATATATATATATATTGGTTCATTTTCAGTATGGTGTTCACAAGAGGATTTGGTTATGGATCTGGAGCTGGTGGCCAGGATAGGCCAGGATTGACTGATGATCAGCTATAAGATTTGATTGCTACTGAGGTGGCTATTGATGTCCAGAGTTCTATCCCGGAGCTTTTTGGGTCTATCAAGCCCGCTGATTCATGATCTGGGGAACAGAAGGTCCGTACCCGTGGCAAGTGTGGCAAGGTTCATGAGGGTGCTTGTCGATCTTCTTCTTGGTGCCACAAATATGACAGGGAG